AAAACAAAGCTTAAACAACAAATTAAACTACCTAAACGTGTCCTAGGGTGAGAGCTTGAGAGATACCAAAGATCAATCAAGGACCACTCCCACCAAAGTACTAACGAAACTTGTAAAACTTAAGGAGAGATGGTTGTGTACCAAAGACACTTCCAAGACACTCCTTGAAATGGCCAATTACAAGGTAATTACAAAGCTAAACAACAATGAAACAAGTGGCTTTAAAGAGAAATTAAAAACAGCCACCAAAAATTAGTGAGGGATTAGTGACCAAATTTTGCAACAAAATTCAAATTAGTAAGGAAAATGTGGTCTCTAAATCCGTCACTAATACTCTATTTTTTTTTTTTTAAATTCAAATACAAAATCAATTTGAAACTCCCAAAGATCTCCACGGATGAACAAGTCCAGCAGCCACCAAAATTTCCAGCCACAAGTGTTTAGTGTTTGTTCTTTGATTTTGATAGCCAAATCCGAGAGTCTCCTTTGTCCTTTCCTCCTCCTTTTCTTAGTCCTCTTTTGATGACCCTTGTTGAGCTAGCTTCTAGGTCAAGCATAGGTCACATTTGAGTTCCATAATGAATACCAACAACAAAGGTATTTAATAGGTAAAGAAAACAAGATTAGAGTAGGAGAAGACAATATGGATGACAATAGACAAGATTAGGCTAGGTCAAGAAAGAACAATTCTAAGAAAAGGTTCTAGAATTGATTCACAAAACCAAAACACTCAAGAAGAATGTGAGCTGAAAATATTATGTAACTATGATCAATCAAACCGAGAAGAAGAACTTGTAAACCAAAACTCCTTTTATGGCTTTTTCTTTTAGAACTTAGATTTATCACTTTTTTTTTTTAATTCACTTTTGGTTTTGAATTTTTTTTGATCTTTCTTCTATATTTTTTTTTTTTAAACTTAGGAGTTTCCTTTTACTTGTAGTTCAAATTGTTCACACTAGTCTCGGTCACACTTGATGCAACACTAAAACCGGATTTCAAATTTTGAAGTACCAAATGACAAACAAATAAGGTTCAAATTCAAACCAAATTAGTCATGCTTTTTATGCTTGTAAGTTTAGAAGGCACATGCACGGTTTTAGGCTCCACAATTCAAATTCAAATTTGAATGACAAACACAAATTTCAGCACACTCACCTTATACCAAAATCAAACCTCACGGATTAGAAAAAGATTTCAAGACATTTTCAAAAATTTGGAAAGAAAACAATTTGTAAACTCTTAAGTTTTACTTTCCAAGTTTTATTTTCAATTATTTTGGATATTGAAAAACAATTATGAAGGTTTTATGTAAACCCTTTTACCAACGTTGAAAATTTATTTCCTTAATTTATTTACATTATTACAATATATATGTGTTAGGGTAGTAAGGGTGTCACATTTAGTGGTATCAGAGCAGGTCGATCCAATCGACTGTGAGTTATGAGTCTACGTACTATGCTTGTTTGGTAGATGAATTGATTGTAGAACTTGTTGATATGGTAGTATGATGATTGATTAAGTTTGTTATTTATTTAATTATAGTATAATTGTTAACTCTTATGTGGATCAGAAGAGTAATGGAAGGAGGTAGGAATGATCATGCAATGGCTGATGCTCTATAGGCGATGGCTCAGGCTCTTGGTACTTTGAACCAACGACCAGAGGTAGATTGGCTGGAGAGATTCCAGCGAAATAATCCGCCAAGCTTCCGTGGGGGTTATAATCCTAATGGAGCTGTTGACTGGATTTTTGATGTTGAAAAGATATTCCAAGCTTTGGGATGTCCTTTGGTGCAGAAGGTGACTTTGACTGCCTTAGAATTAGAGAAGTTTGATCTTCATTCTAATTTCACCAAGTTTGATCTTCACTTTATTAAATTTTATATTTAAGACAATTAATTTATACAACAATATAAGATTATTTTTAAATATTGATCATATATTTTCAAAATATTAAAATTTAATTTATTAATAAATATGATAAATAAAAATTAAAAAAATTCTTAAAAATGCTCTTATCAAAGAATAACACCTAAAAATGTTTTCACACAGGATAACCGTTCATAAATATATAGGAGTTGATATATATATATATATATATGTATATATATATATATATATATATG